CATCCATCCATCCATCCATCCATCCATCCATCCATCCATCCATCCATTCTCCACTGCTTATCTGGGGTTGGGTCATGGGGGCAGCAGCCGAAGCAGGGAAACCAAGACTTCCCTCTGCCCGGCCACTTCCGCCAGCTCCTCCGGGGGGATCCCGAGGCGTTCCCAGGCCAGCCGGGACACATAGTCCCTCCAGCGGGTCCTGGGTCTTCCTCTGGGCCTTCTCCCGGTGGGACGAGCCCGGAACACCTCCCCAGGGAGGCGACCAGGAGGCGTCCTGAACAGATGCCCGAGCCACCTCAACTGGCTCCTCTCCACGTGGAGGAGCAGCGGCTCTACTCCGAGCCCCTCCGGAAGGGCCGAGCTTCTCACCCTATCTCTAAGGGAGAGCCCAGCCACCCTGCGGAGGAAACTCATTTCGGCCACTTGTTTCCGGGATCTCGTTCTTTCGGTCACTACCCAAAGTTCGTGGCCATAGACGAGGGTGGGAACGTAGATCGACCGATAAATCAAGAGCTTCGCCTTTAAGCTCAGCTCTCTCTTCATCACGACAGACCGGTACAGCGCCCGCATTACTGCAGACGCCGCACCGATCCGCCTATCGATCTCACGCTCCCTACCCCCATTCGCGAACAAGACCCCGAGATACTTTAATTTATTTATTCATTTGACAGGGACAGTACAATTAAACACTGCAAACAAACAGGTGGCCGATGTCCAAGTACATAAGGCTTGTAGCCATGGGGTAATTTGCAGCCTTCGTCCCTGGTTAGGCTTTTAAAAGGTGTTAGCATTAAGGGGGGAAGGAGGTTAGTAACGACACGCAGATGCATAAAAAACAAGAGAAGTTAAAACAAACTGTACAGTACAAGCCAGTTTAGTGCTCACACTCTTGATTGTCTTTGACTCATTTTTTCAATCTTGTGGAGAAAAGTCAAACATCAGTCTGTGATTAAGCTCCAGGGGCAAAGAGTTCCAGAGATGTGAGGCTTTCACTGAGAAGGCGGACTGACCCAAAGATGTCTGGAGGTGGACTTGGAGGTGGGAGTTAAAGCTCCGCCAAACAAGGGACTCCGCCAGGCGCTCCCAGCAGACCCTCACAATACGCCTGGGCCTCCCGGGTCTCACGCCATCCTCCCCCACCATCGGCGCCAACTCACCACCAGGTAGTGGTCGGTGGAAAGCTCCGCCCCCCTCTTGACCCGAGTGTCCAAAACATGCGGCCGCAGATCAGCTGAAACGACAACGAAGTCGATCATTGAGCTGCGGCCTAGAGTGTCCTGGTGCCAGGAGCACATATGAACACTCTTATGCCTGAACATGGTGTTCGTTATGGACAATCCGTGCCGAGCACAGAAGTCCAAAAACAGAACACCACTCGGGTTCAAGCTGGGGGGGCCATTCCTCCCAACCACGCACCTCCAGGTCTCACTGTCATTGCCCACGTGAGCGTTGAAGTCCCCCAGCAAAACAAGGGAGTCCCCAGAGGGGGCACCCTCCAGTACCCCCTCTAAGGACTCCAAAAAGGGTGGGTACTCTGTACTGCCGCTAGGCGCATAGGCACAAACAACAGTCAGCACCCGTCCCCCCACCCAAAGGCGAAGGGATGCTACCCTCTCGCTCACCGGGGTAAACCCCAACGTACAGGCACCGAGATGGGGGGCAATGAGTATGCCCACTCCTGCTCGGCGCCTCTCACCGGGGGCAACTCCAGAGTAGCAAAGCGTCCAACCCCTCTCAAGAAGGCTGGTTCCAGAGCCAGAGCTGTGTGTCGAGGCGAGACCGACTACGTCCAGCCGGAATCTCTCCGCCTCGCACACCAGCTCAGGCTCCATCCCCGCCAGAGAGGTGACGTTCCACGTCCCTAGAGCCAGTTTCTGCAGCCGGGGATCGGTCCGCCAAGGTCCCCGACTCCGGCCACCACCCAGAGCACAATGCACCCGACCCCTTTGGCCCCTCCCATGGGAGGTGAGCCTATGGGAAGGGGGACCCATGTTGCCTTTTCGGGCTGAGCCCGGCCGGGCCCCATGGGTAAAGGTCCGGCCACCAGGCGCTCGCCATCGTGCCCCACCTCTGGGCCTGGCTCCAGGGTGGGGCCTCGGTGACCTGCGTCCGGGCAGGGGAACTCTGTTTCCATTGATAGTTTTCATCATAAGGGGTCTTTGGGCTACGCTTTGTTTGATCCCTCACCTAGGACCTGTTTGCCTTGGGTGACCTTACCAGGGGCTTGAAGCCCCGGACAACATAGCTCCTACATTTTTGATGGAAGAGCAAAAATGTGATGTTTTAAAATTGCTCCTGGTGTCACATTTCTGGCTCGATTCAAAAATAAAAACAACCAACGAGTTCCTTAAAGCCTCAAAACTGAAGGTGGTGGGATGGCTCTCCATAGGCAGCGCTAATGGTGCATTTACATCTGAAAAGGGATTGAGGAGTTGGGAAATAATGTTGTGGGGACTCGAGGCTGACGAAATTTCTCAAATCTTTGGGCTTTCTAGTGATAAAGCCTGTGGGTGCTCATGGTGAGAACACAATTTTCATGGCTCTTACAGTTCTGGCTCAGCAGGTCAGAATGTGAAGGGAACTTTTACCTGTTGGACCAGCTTGGAGCAAAGCTGCTTGTGTAAGTCAGAGGCCTCAGCTGGAGCCGTCTCCATCACGACTGATGACTGCCGTGTTCTGTGTGTCATTCACGCACACATATGCATCCAGCATATATAAAACACACAATAATACACAGCAATACACACATTCTTCTTCTACTCTCCAAGTTCTCTTTGAAAGGTCATCCATCTACTGTTTCTTTACTCTCATGTTCATGTTCATACATTTGGCAGACGCTTTTATCCAAAGCGACTTACAGGGTAGGGAGGAGCTGTATTGGCCGGGAATCGAACCCAGGTCAACTGCTTGGAAGGCAGCTATGCTAACCACTACACCACCACTCCTCTCTCAAATGACTTCTTTTATAACGTTTTTAAAGTTCTTTTTATTGAGTTTAAACAACAACAAATGCCAGTAAAATATTAACATTTTAACTATAGAATTGTGGAACAATGTCACCACCATCGCCTCACAGAAAGAAAGTTCTGTGTTGGAGTCCCGGGGGGAACCAGGACCTTTCTGCCAGCGGGTTCTGGGTTGGAGTCCCCGGGGGAACCAGGACCTTTCTGCCACAGGGTTCTGGGTTGGAGTTCCCGGAGGGAACCAGGACCAGAGGGTTCTGGGTTGGAGTCCCGGGGGAACCAGGACCAGAGGGTTCTGGGTTTGAGTCCCGGGGGAACCAGGACCTTTCTGGGCGGAGTCTGTATGTTCTCCTATGTCTGTGGGTTCTCTCCGGGTTCTCCAGCTTCCTCCCACCGTCCAAAAACCTGCATGTTAGGTTGGTTGGACTCCAAACTGCCCTTAGTGTGAGTGTGTGTGGTTGTTGGTTCTTGTGTGTCTCTGTGTGTCCCTGTTATGAACTGAGGATCGTCCAGGGTGACCCTGCCTCTCCCCATTGGCTACTGGGATAGGCTCCAGTCCCCCTAGACCCCATTATGGAATAAGCAATTACACTAATGGATGGATATTCTAATTCTGCATTTCATCTAATTTGTATTCTTTCTAAATCCTCAGAATAACAATCAGCTGCTTCTTCTTTGTCTGTGAACAAACTGCCATGTAAGGTTTGTTTATACTGAAATAGCTGTTGAGTTCAGTTCTGTCTGTGCTTATAATGTCTTCAGTTGAACTGTAAGAGTAGCATCAATAGGACTGGGCTGATGGGCCATCTCTATAAGCAGCATTAAAAAGCTGCCTTTAAACCTCACATTGATAATCAGTAAAACAATAAGTTATTGCTACTAACAGCCACTAACAGGCCACTGACAGAAGCGCAGAGTTTATATAATCAAGAGATCCTCGTTTTCGGCCTTTCTCTACACTGACAGAGATAAATCTACATTTGCTTGGAGTGTTTAGATCATGTCCAGCCTCTTCACTCAGATACATCATGTCAGAGCCTGAGCAGTGTCTCTACAGTACGTTCAGCCTAGAGGAGCCACGGCGAAGAATCTTTAGTGTCAGTAGGAGCTTAACAGACTTCCTGAACCAGGGGTAGCAAAAGGCATAGATGAGTGGGTTCAGACAGGAGTTTAAGTACAGCAGCCAGGTCTGCAAAGGCACAGCTGTCAAACTAAACTGAAAACTATCCCCTACAAAGAAAGAGCAGTAATATGGGAAGTAACACGACAGAAAAGCAACCACAACCACTCCTAGGATCCCGGCAGCTTTCAGCTCAGATTTCCTGACGTGCACGGCCTCTGATCGTTTCACAGTTATGGCTCTAATCTGACCCCTCATGGCCCGAGCCTGATACACCACCACCACAAACACCCTGAGATACAGAACTATGACCACAGATACAGGGCCCACAAAGATCAGGACAAAGTCTATGATTGCCTCATTATTATCTAAAGCTATTATACACTCGCCCTGGCAGGATTTAAACCGGTCAGGCTGAATGAACATGTCCCACAGCATCACACTGATATAAAGCACAGAACAGACCCAACAGAGTACATTAGCCACTAAAACTCTCCTCACAGAGATTTTATAATGATAATGCAGAGGGTAACAGATGGCCACATAGCGATCGATGGAAATGAGCACCATGGTTCCCA